GACGAAGTTCCAAAGTGCTTCAGATTTCTGAAAAGTGGCAAAACAGGAGAGGGAGGGAAAATTAAGGGAATGATGACAGGAATCTAACCCTACCCCTAACCCTACTCCTAACCCTAACCCTACCCCAACCTTCCTCTAACCCTACCCCCAACCCTGTCCCTAACCCTAGTAAGATTAGGGGTAGGGTTGGGGTTAGAGTTAGGTCTAGGGGTAGGATTAGGGGTAGAGATAGAGTTAGAGGTAGGGTTAAGATTAGGGGTAAAGGTAGGGGCAGACTTAATGATCCTACAAGTCCAACTTCAAGTTACAAATCTTGGACTATTCCAAAAACCACAGCCGAGTTAAAACAAAAAAATGTGCCTTACCTGACACTGATAAGAAAGCTAAGTTGTTCCGCTTAATGAAAGCCCAAAATGACAGTGACAGGCCTGGTTCTAGTGGGGGGGATAGTATTCAGAAAAGCCTGTCAGAACTCCATAGTGTGATGTCCTCTCTTACAGCAATAATTAATACGATTAATAACCGTTTAGAGTCACTGGAGAATTACAACTTGACCAGTGATTCCGGAGTTACTGCCAGTATTCCTATCGCCCCTACTGAACAGAGCCAACCTACTTCCATTAATGTTTCTTAACTTTCCCACATTGTTACTCCAGCCCACCTTGTCCCTCCTAACTTAAGAAAATATATTTTGGAAGGCAAAGACGTTAATTTGGTCTCTTTGCTTATAGCTTCCCAAGACGTTGTTGATAATAAGTCCTATTCGTTTGGTGATCTTTCAGTAGTAATGAAAGCTAGGGATCCTGGGCTGAACAAAAAATTATGTATACCTGACTTTGTGTTGGCCTTTGGCTTGCTCAGGGATGTAGTTAGCACTTTTCACCCACATCGTAGGCAAGAGTTAGATTTGTATTTGCACAAACTGGTGAACTTTGGGCATAAGTACGGCGGGATGGGGTAAAAGCTGCAGGGAAACATGGGGACACAGACACTAGGGGTCACTGTGAAACATGGGGACACAGGGAGACCTCTGGGGATGCTAAGACACTTGAGGACACTTGAACACATGGGGACACTGAGACACTTGGGACTCAATGTCCCCAAGTTTCCAAGCCAGTGTCCCTGGTGTCTCTGTGTCCCCATGTCTCCCAGTGTCTCAGTGTCTGTATGCCCATGTCTCCCAGTGACCCCATGCCCCCCAGTGTATGTGTCCCCATGTCTCCTAATGTTATCAATGTCTCCCAGTGTCCCCATGTCTCTCAGTGTCTCCTAGTGACATGGGGATACTGGGAGACATGGGGACACAGACACTAGGGGACACTGGGAGACATGGGGCACTGAGACACTGTAATACATAGTCTCAGGGTCCCCCAATGTCCCCAAGTCTCCCAGTGTCCCCATGTCTCACAGTGTCCCTAGTGACATGGGGACACTGAGAGCAATCCATCTATACAGCAGAATCAAACTGTAAGTAGTTTTTTGATGATTTTACAGAATTTTCTCATGTCACTCATGCATCATGTGATGTCATGCATGCATAATTAGTTATGCAAATTAGTAAGGCCTGTATTTTTTTTTTCCAAGAAAGGTGGCAACCCTAACTACTCTTCACATACTCTTGCTTAAGTATGGAAACTTAAGAGGGATATATGGAAACAAAACTTGTGTGGACTAGCTGAAATGACATTAGTTAAGCTAATGCTGGCTTTAGTCTCTCTAACACTGTGGCATGTTCCCTTTCTTCTACACTCACTACATGCACCTTTTTTCTGTCTCAGACTGTATACCAGGAGCCTCTGTCTGGTAGTAAGAAGGTAAGGAGACAAGTGGACATGGGCAGTTCTTAGAAAGCATGGAGCGAGCGCATCATTAGACGGATTTATGCCAAGCTCAGGATGCTGTTGGCCAGCATGCATGATTGGAAGGCAGCCTGACATGCATTCATGCCAGGCAAGCCTTCCAATTCTTTGGGCAGACACACCTCCTTTTTGGACATGTTCGTCCTTTCGGGAGTTCTCGGTACATGATCCGCGTCAGTGGCCCACCCTTTTATACTGTCCAATGACTTTCTGCTTCACTGGACACTGCTGTTAGGGGGTATGGATTTACTTGAAAGATAAAAGCATGAGATTAACATATTTTAAGAGAATCTGAGTTTTCGTATAGCTGCAGCTTATGTGTTTCCCTCCAGCAACATCTCCACCAATTACAGAACGTTTGAGGTATGACTGTTTTAGTGTTTTTGGTCCATAAGATTCTGTACTTAGACCCCTTAAAATTGTCAGCACCAGGCCCACTAGGCTCTTAATCTAGTCCTGGGTATAGTATATACAAACAATTGGTATTGATGGAGGAAAATATCCTACTTACGTCATCCAGAGCAATGTCCTGACATAAGTAGGATATTTTCCTCCATATATTAAATAACTCTTAGGTGGGACATACAACACACTAAATAAGCAATGTATCCAATTCGTTTTTATTATATTTTTTTATACTTTTCTATACAAATAGTTGTTTTTGTATATTTATTTGATAATTTTTCTCTTGTGTAGGGGTATTTATCCAGTATCTTATATTACCTACAGTTTTTATACAATTTACATGCAATGCTCAAAAAGGGGTTCTCACCAAGGTTTGCAACCTTTAGTCGCTCAACCCCCTTTGTGTTCACATCTACTTTCCCTTTGGACTGCAACATGCTGCTTCTGTATTAATTGAAACTGTTGCAGTTTTTGAGAAGTATATGTTATGAACCAATGTTAGAATTGGATACATAGTTTATTTAGTGTGTTATATGTCCCACCAAAGAGTTATTTAATATATCTAGAGTAATTATTTTTCATTATTTTAGCTGGTATTTTTTATTAAAGGTATATCTCTTTTATAGGAACGTTTGTTTCCTATAATTATTTGTGGAGCGCACATGCTATATATTTGTAGTTATTTTTCCTATTTGCCAAGCTGCCTGCTGGCATGTAGTTGCCTAAATGTATAAATGTAATAAATGTATTATCTATCTTGGTTACCACCCCCTTGTTTATTTTCCTCCATCAATACCAATTGTTTGTATATACTATACCATTGAATTTCCTATTTTGTGTTTTTTCACATATACCAACTCAATCTTGAAAACAAGCTCCAAAGACCCTCCACTTATATCCATATACAGGGATTATTCCATCCAGGCCTTCATAATAGAGCTTAGACAGCTCTAAAAAGTGTGAGTGTGCACTTCTGCCCATTTGTACTCCCTTCACAAACATCTACTGTACTGCACCATAATCTGTTTCTTGCTTTGTACTTATAAATTCATATACTAAGAATATCATCTGTATTGTATGTATATATAATCTTAAGCGCTTATCACCTCCTGATAATCTTAAGCGCTTATCACCTCCTGTCTGTTACAAGGGTGGAGAGAACCCCCTGTTGGTGATTTGCTGCTAATTATAGATATTGAGCACTTATACTCACCGTTTCCATCTCACTATCATGAGGCTTGTCAGGAAACTGACTTGGTTAGCAGCATCTGGCCAGTTTTACCTTAAATGTATCCACGTACCTGGTATCTGCAATAAGGCAGTTGACGAACTATCATGCTCTAAATTTCAAGAGTTCTTTCTAATCCGCCTGTCATCCGATCCTCACTCCATGGATCCTCCGGAATTTAAAGACCTGTTAATGGACTAGATTTACTATTGTCCCAGAGTAAAATTTTGGCCCAAGCAAATCTTAAATCTAATTCCCCTTTACTCGCATTACACGGCAATGCTCTTACAATTCAAAAGTTCATGTTATACACTAGAACATAGTTGGTTACACTTGGTCTCAACCCTGCCTCATTTACGGCTACTCATTTCGTATAGGAGCCGCTACAGCAGCATCCAGCCACAATACTCCCGCACACATAATTAAACACATGGGTCGGTGGAAATCTTCGGTATATTGCAAGTATGTGCCACAACCAGAGAAAGAAGTTAGGTTGGCCTTCTGTAATATTGCAATGTAATATTAAAGAATTGTTTAAATAAAGGTTTAAATTGCATATTATCTTTTTTCGCTCTTATTTCAGGCCTAACCTCTTGTTGGTTCCGGCACACTTCAACCGACTTATTTCATATTACATTTGTAGTATGAATGCATATTTATATTCTATCGGCTGGTGTGTCCCGACCATAAATAAATTATATATACACACACACACACACACACACACACACACACACACACATTTATTTTTTTATTTTTTAATGTCTTTATGTATTTATTTGTGTAAATCAGCTTTCTTTGATTCTTTCCAGTGTCATAATTATTTGCCCCATGAGGGCATGATTAAGGAGCACTGAGTTATATAATGCCAGGTTCTTTTCTAAGGAGTAAAATGAAGTCTACGTGCAATATATTTAAAGAATAGAATTAGAAATTGATCTAATTAAGTCATAGTAATCCTGCATGAGATGTCCCCATTGACTGAAGAATTTAAAACTCTTTTAGCCATCAGAAATTCCTTGAAATCAATAACATTTTCTCATTAGGAACTTTATAGGAAAATACATAGAAATAGAAGGTCTTAATGGCAGGATTACCAGCTGGACTGAGCTAAACATTCATTATAACCCATGAATTAACAGAGTATCAACAACGTATCAGTGATGCTCGAGCAGAGAAGGTCCAGATAGAAAGAAATTTCACATGTTAATCCAATATGCTAGCATGCCATGGAACATATATCTTTAGTACCACATCAAATTTCGCCATCAAGCCTCTACCCGGAACTCATAAAGAAAACCACTGTAAACATTCATTGTACATATTTTTATTAGTAGAAATGTGACCATCTAATTTTTCAAAAATTAACATTGTCCATTTAGACATCTCCTTTTTGGTATATTCCTAAGGACAAACATTTATATTTGTCTATGCTTTCATCCCATAAATATATAATACAGAATTTTGTAAAGGATGTATATACATTATATATATATATTTATGCATATATTATGGACATTTTACACATATTTTGTGAATCTTTAAAATAACAGGAAAACTTACATTTTAAAACATAACACAAATCCATTCATATTCTTTAACTTTCTCATATAAGCGGTCACATATGCTGTCAAAATGTATTTTTGACATACCTCTGAACAGACTGGGGATCAAAGAAGCTACCTGTCATGGGATCAGTGTGACCTGGTCTGAACCTTCTCAGGATTCCTCTTTGGTGCCCTAATTCACTGGGACACCGTAGAAAACTGACACAAATTTAGACAGTAAAGTTTCTATGTCACGAAAGATTGAAAGCTTAGTTATAGTTCGTATATTTTCTCAACTGACCGATATGTTGTGCGCCAGCTCAAAATACTGATCAAATAGCACCAAAAGCCACAACCTGAGAAGTCTTTATTCCAATAGTCAGAAAGCTGGCTGATGTGCTGTAATGTCCTCTATAGGACATTAGATGAATTTAATTAAGAAGGCTTACAGAAAATTACAATTTAAAAAAATGTCGTGTACTCCATCACATTTTACAAATATTATAGAACTTAAATATTTCTACCTTGATAGTCTTGGGGTATTAGTATGTAAATAAATTAATAAATAAAGTGGCTATATAGACTTGCAGTAGACAAAGTAAACTCTCATATTGAATATTTATCAACATGCCAAAGTTTGGCGATGAGACATTAGCAATGTCGACATGATCACAGTCTCACTTTTAGAATACTTTTCAACACCACTTTTATCATTACTAGATCAATAAAAATGGGCCTTCTACCTTACATTTAAAGGGACACTAGGCACCCAGACCATTTCATCTCATTAAAGTGGTCTGGTGCAATGTCCTTGTCCCCCGCAGTTGTGCAATGAAAAACATTGCTATTTTTGAAAAACTGCAATGTTTACATTGTTGCACTAAGACTGCCTCTAGTGGCTGTTTACCAGAGAGCCACTAGAGGAGTTTCCAGGACTTTCACAGAGTTTGACTTTGTGAAAAGTCACTGGATGTCCTTACAGCATCAAGGAAAACCCCACAGGAAAGCATTGAGGCAATGCTCTCCTATGGGGAAGGTCTAAGGTGTGCGTGGCGCTCGCTGCACATGTGCATTAGGTTCCTCCTGTCTGATTATATCGGAGGGGAGGAACACAATCCAGCGCCGAGGGGCATTGATGCTAGAATTGGGTAAGTAAATAACTTTTTTTTTTTACCTTTTATGTACCAACAAGGGGGGCTGCAAGAGAGAGGGGAACCAGAGAGCACTGTAGTGTTAGGAATACAACCTAACAATATAGATTCCCTTTAAAGGAAACTCCTGAGCTCTGAAGCTCTTTAACTTGCTGAGATGCTTTATGTGTGAAGAGTGTGTCCTCTTTTTTCATTTAAAAAAAAAAGTGCAGATTTCAATAGAAATTGACACTTTTATAAATTAACCTGGTTAAAGTCCACTGACTGTCAATCAGACAACCGGTCCTATTACTTCCTGGTTTGGTCAGTTCCGTGGAGCTAAACTCAAGAGGCAGAAATTGCTCAGAGCATCTGCCTTGCAAAGAATTCTGATTGAGCTGCATTGGGAATCTATTATTGGACAGCCACAGAACGTCTGGGCTGGGGAAGAAATGGACGTCTTGCAAAAGCTTCAAATGAGATCTGTAGCTTTTGAAAGCTGTTTTTAGATTTACCTCAAATGGAAAAGGCATAATTAAAGGCAACACAAAGAAATACAGGAAAAAGGCTGCGCTAATAGTTAAAAGGTACAATAGTTCGTCTGAATAGGTCTAACGCACTTGATAAAGCCCTTGTGGTGAAACATGTTATGGTTATTTTGAATTTGTATTTTTTTAAATAAAAGGCGTTTTGGTTACAATTTTGTGCCAATCATCTTTTTAATACACTTTTTTATTTGGAATTTTTCCTGGCTTCCTTTTATCTTCGTGTGACTCCAAGTATATCCGAGGTGGGGATCATATCACCAACGCTGACATCACAGTACAGTTTGCCTGCACTTCACTTGTGAGTACATTTTTATTTATATTTACTGCATATTTTATTCTACTGAGAGCACTATTGGCTGTCTTTTATATATCCCTCTCCTGGGTGTTGGATACCATCCCTGTGGAGGATTCCCATCACCTATCCTTTAAAGCCTGGATTATACCCCTGTACGCCCTTCACACCAGAGCTGGCTATAGCTCTTTTAAATGTGAGTTGATTGCACATATTTGTTTATTTTACCCATATTGGCTTTTATATACTGCAAAATTGGGTCTCCTCGTTTTTGTCTTGCATACAAGCGGGACGGTTGGACCACTAGGGACATTGAGGACTCTACACCCAAAAATAGGCACCTTATATATTTTTTATTGTACTAATAAAGGAATAGTGGCTTTTTTACATCAATTTTGCCATATACCTTTTTATCTTATTTTTAAAAATTTTGTTTTAAAAATATTTTCTGTCACCTGGTCATTCACCAACTTGGAATCTACCCACGACCAAGAATCCTTGGTGGGGATTGTACCACCTATGCGAATATACTGAGCAGTTTATCCTGCTCATTCGAATGTGAGTATTTTTATTCCTTTTATTTCACTTTATTTCATTTTGATTCAGTGAGCACTATATTCTGCTTTTATCTCCTTTTTATTACCGAGGAATTACCTTCACCTATATCCTACCAGTGGGGGATAAACGCCACTGAACGCCCAACATACTAGAGCAAGTTCATGCTCTAAGATAGGTGAGTGTACTACCTACCTATTATTATTATTATTTATCACAGACAGTCTACACTATTGGATCGTCTTTGTTGCTTATATTTTCCATGTTCATCTCTGAATCAAGACTCCTCTAAAGATTAGAAGATTCAGTCTCTTATTGGACTTTCTACCTCCAAATACTTACCGGAACCTGAAAGAGAAATATACCAAGTACTGTCACTATCATCCACTTATTTGAACTTTTTAAATTATATCAAGAATTTGGACTATCTTTTTTTATATATATATTTGTTATATATATTTATTAAATCCCCTTTTCTTTATACATATTATTCCTCTTTTACGTTTTAAAGTGTTTTGCCATATTTATCCCTTTTTCATTTGATATTTACGTAGCGCAACCTATTATTCTTGTTTTTGTTACCTTATAAAGATACTTACTTCTGAGTGAGACCTCAATATTATCGGTATTTACCTTCAGTTACTCCATCAGAACTTTAGTCCCACCATATCAGTGAGACCAACTACGTTATATTGCCCTACCATTTCCGACGAACTATTGTACCTTTTAACTATTGGCACAGCCCTTTTCCTGTATTTCTTTGTGTTACATGGTCTCTCCTCAGAGAGTTTGAGGGTTACCTTCTGTTGGGCCGCTGCCTACCTTACTTCAATTTTATTAGAGCTGACCCTTTTCTTATTTTTATAATTAAATGCATGCATTAAGGGTATATCTACTAAATGGTTAAATATACAGAGGTATATTGCTTTAAACACTCAATATATGGAGATTGCAATCCTGCTGCAAAGAAGTTAGCAACACATTTACAAGACCATCACAAACTTATCAAATTCAGCATTTCAAAAGAACTTGAAAATACCTTACTAAAAATACCCAATTCTCTAAAATAATTCCAGGTGGTTTTTGCATGAGCAGAATAAACACCTACAAGCACCTCCCCTGATTATGCGGTACAAGCACTATTATGTAACAATGCCTCGTTAATCGATTGCATAAATAAAAGGTAAATAAATGCTGTAGCTGAAATATAACTACAGGTAGTCCTCACTTTACGACTGACCTGTTTAACGACAACTTGGAGTTATGACCAACTCTTTAGCGCAGGGATTCAGGGCATTCCCCACACTAGAAAGCTGGTCTATACATAGAAAAGAACCTAGACAAGTGCAACAGAGCAGGAAATCCCTCAAATCTAAGATCAGGGAACATTCCCCGAACATAGATTAGAGGGAAATTTCCCTAAACATAGACCTGCACTGGTGTGCATTCTCTGTATCTCATTCTCACTTATCGACCAATTCGTTTTCTGACCGAGTCATAAGAACGGAATCTGGTCTGTAAGTGAGGAGTGTCTGTAGTAAAATTAATAACATAATAAATACGCATGTACCTAAATAATTTGTTTGGAGATACCTTAAAGAAACATGCACATTTCCGTGTTTATTTGGATTATGTTAGGTTAATGACACATCTGTTAGCATCATCAATTCCCTTCCTTCAAATTTTCTGTTAACCTTGTAATATCAATATCAATGATGTGAGGGTAACACGGCTTAGTTTTAACGTAAAGGGACATTGTAGGCACTGTAACTTCTTGATATCTTTGAAGTAGTTATTGTGTCTGCAGTCCTTTCATACCATCCTTCCATTTAGCGTTAAACAGTTTTTGATGTTTTAGTGGTAAAAAAGAGCCCCCGACAGCCAATCCTCTCTGCTACTTGGGCTATTGAGGAAGTTTCAGTCTAAGCAGCAACAAGAGTCTATAATTGGCTGAGAGTGTCAGCTGATTGTTACAGCCCATTACAGCACCCACTACTGGTGTGAATTGGTATTGCTAGAAGGAAGTGTATAATCTTTGCCTTATTATGGGAATTTATATAGTGCCAACTTCTTCCACAGCACTTTTTTTTTTTTTTACTTCTTTATTTTTGTAGTGCAGGTGATTACATACAGCTTGGCATGCCACAATAGCATTTAACAAGAAAGTCAGGATACATAGCTTACATGGTATAAGGCATTGAGTTAGTCTTGCACTCATTTTTATAAGGGTATAATAACAGGTTTATAAACAAGCTTGTGAGATCTATCTAGAATCCGATTAAAACATCAACATTACTGGTAGGTGAGGGTATCTAGATATTAGGTGTTAAGACACCTCCAGTGTCTTTGTGCAAAACCTCCGTTTAGTAGACCTTCCCCGTCTGCAATATCAGTAACTCCGTTCACCTAACCTGTAGTGCACGAACCAAATGCAGGGGAAGCGGCAATCTCCCGACCGGGATCCGTGAACGGCTCCAAACTCCCGAACGGCAATACACGAACTGCTGCTAGCCGCCGAATAATAACATCCACCAAGCGGCTTTCGTTTCCATCCAGCAGTCTCTAAACACAAATAATAAATCCCCACAATAACAAGACAGAAGCTCCGCATTGAGGGTCAAACAGGATCTGGCTTTACTGTGGGCTACCTGCCCGTATTTATGCAGGTCTTCCACTTGGTGGACACTCCCCTAGGGGACCAAATGGGAGACTTAAATGACAGACAAATATGGGGACATTCCAGACACATAGACACAGTTTTTACCCACAATGCACTATGATTCCCTCCCCTCTGCCCTGGAGATAATTACCAAGTAACTCAATTATCTCCAGGACAAAGCCAGTCGCTATTTTAAATATAAAATCATAAAAGACATAAAAATGCATAACTTTAAAATAACCGAACATTTCCCATTCGTATCACATATCCCCAGATAGCCTGGATCTGAGTGCATATTATTAGCGAATAGCGCTCAGATCCCACACACATAGTTCAATCGCCATGGAGTCAAAGTTCTTACAGTCTTTCGTGATATGAATGACTCCATGGGAAGGCTATCTGGGTTAAGTCCTTTCGTATGCTTCAAACCTCCCGAACGGCCGGTATTCGTATGCTTTCGTGGAGGCAGCCAGGCGTTCCGTTGTTTCAGCGGTGTTCGGCAGAAAAAGTGTCCGTTTTTAGTTCCATAGAAATAAAGCCAAACACCGCTGGGCTTTCGCGTGATTTAAAATGGCCGCTGCCTCGTGGTCGACATATGAACGACGACCACCCTGAATTCGGTTTAATTGAGAAATGTCTGCGGTTAACCACAACGTTCTAATTGGGATCAAAAGGTTAACCAGCAGCCCTTCTCTCTTGGGTGGCCGTCCGTTCGGTAGGTTTATTCGGGAAAAACAGTCATTCGTATGGCTGGGCTATAGAAACAGCCATTTACACGAAAAGGGGCAGAAATAGACGAATCCACCTGAAATAAGCAAACAGATAGTCCTGTCACATTAGGTGAAGTGTGTTAATACAAAAGGTTATCCTTATTCTATTTCTGCTTTGTTTTGGAGCTGCTAAGTAGGATGTGTTCCAGTTTGGCTGCCTTATGTGTGTGTGTGAAATATGCTTTCAGCCACATAGAGGTAAGATCGGTCTGGGCCTAGTGAATTGGTCATCAGGCTAACTGGCAGTGAGACTAGTTAGAGGTGTGCTTTAAAGTAAGATAAAATAAAATAAAGAGGGTACCACTGAGGCTGAGTAATGCTCCGTCAGGTCAAAACAAAAATATAAAACAACGTGTTTACAAGACATGAAACAAAATCGTAATTGAGGGTGTTTTTCAACTAGGTATGGTTGAGCTTTGGGTAGTCGGTTCCCGGACTTATCCCCCTCTCAGTCCACTTCTCTTCAACCGATGCAGTCTCTGGAGGCTTGGTAGCTGCTTCCCACTGAAGGGCAGTCCCTCTCGGGCTTGTACTCGTTGGGCTGTTGGTGTGTCTTCCACCCCAGTCTCCGCGTTTGGTTAGGCTGTGTTCGCGGGCCTGATCTCTTCGCTGCTTGTCTGCGGTGATGCTTTGCTCTTGGGGACTGCTGGTTGTTCCTCCCCGTTGTCTTGCTCCGGTGTGTATAGTGGCACGGGCGCTTCTTGTAGCTTGTGTGGATTAGAGGCCTGGGGGTGGGCCGGGTCATAGTGCCTGAGGGTGCGCCTGCAGGAGTCTGCTTGGTGGCGGGTTAGGTCGTTTCTGGCGACGCCATTTCTGTGCTCCTTTCTCCTCATGGTGTGCGCCTTGATAGCGTAAGCGTGTAGGCAACATTGGCCTCTGGGCCTTGTGCCAAGGCTTGTCGGTCCTCTATTTTTCGCCAGAAGGCCTTGAATATGGTGTTTAGCCTTGCCAGTGTGTCTGTTCCTTCTTTTATGTCAGGTGGCCCGGTTACTGTCGGCGCCAGTTTGGGGTTGACGGGCCCCGTCTGGGAATGCTGCTTCGTTGCTTGGCAGACCCTCTTGGGACCGGGATGACCCCCGCCGGTCCATGGGGACATGGGGCCTTAGTCATGCTTACTGCCGTGGCAGACTGTGGGGAAGCAGCCGCCTCCCCTGCGCCCACCATGCTTGCAGTCCGCAAGTATTGTTTTGCTGAGTCTTGCCCGAAGGGCTGACGGTTTGGTATCTGCATGTGCCCCACAGCGGCACCTCACTATTGGTGGCACTTTTGCGTCATTTTGATGCCTTTCTGGGCTGGTTTTGGCTTAGTTTTCTTCTGTAGAAACAGGAGCTGCTCTATCTCGCGTCCGCTCAGCTCAGCGGTCAGGCCCCGCCCCCCTCCTTCCACAGCACTTTAACAACAAAAGAGACAAACTATTACAAATTGTGACAGAAAGGCCAAGTCGATGTGGACACTGCTTGAACAAGCCACCTACATTCATCCAGTAGGGGTTGAGCTGTGTAGGGCTAGGGAGCCTTATATAATGCTAAATATCTCTAATATGGTTTAACACTGATAGGGACAATACCAATACCTACAGACACTATACCAAGTTCAATGAGATGAAATGGTTTTAGTGCCTTCAATATGCATTGATTAATGTTTTTTGTCTACAGCTATATTTCAGTCACAAAATATTGTGAAATCAGATGGTGTTTGCTGTTATAACTGTGCAAAACCAACTAAAAGTCAAAACATTTAGTTGATTGCTTATCAATGATGGATTGTAATGTAAGCCATTGTAAGAGTGATACGGTTGAGTAAAAACCGTAGCCTATTTATATTCCTGGTAAAAAAAAAAAAGAATCACCAAGGAGAAACTTGCATTATCAAAGTGTGAATTACTATTGTGTTACATTTTTCATAATGCAAATATTAGTCTAAACAAATATAACTTTTATAGTCTTTCTTCAGAGCTAAAATTGTACACCCCATTAATATATATATTTTTTTTTATGTCCTATAATGTCCTTCTAAAAAACTGGAACCCATAATTCTATAGATGCTGTTGCTGTTGAAATGTCCAGAAAATATGTCCATTATCGCAAAGCTAGTTCATACAGTATTTGAAAAGTGCTTTTGTTTTGCAACAATTTTTTCCCCGATTGCATAATTGTATATATATATATATATATATATATATATATATACACACACACACATTTAGGATATATATATATATATATATATATATATATATATATATATATATATCTCAATATTTAGGATATATATGTATATCTTAGGAAATTTAAAGTGCTACATATTCAAATTAAGATTTTCAAAATGAACACAACTATTTAGTTTGAAATTTTAATTATATTTTGTAATAAAACAACCAATAACATGAGCATTTTTATGCTACTTACACAGAATGTCAAAAGCTGTTAAAGGGACACTGTAGGCACTAAAACCACTTCATCTAATTGAATTGTTTATATTGCCTGAAGTCCTCTCGAACTGTCTCTCCATTTAGTGTTAAATAATGTTCGAGCAGTTTAACACTGGATGAGGGGTTCCTGAAAGTTATATTTCCTCAACTAAGCCTAGAGAGTGGTTGCCCTTTGGCTCAATCTCTAAAAGCTACAGGGTATTGAGTCTGCCCTTCCAGAGTCAACAGATTCATCAATTGTAACTCCTGGTATTAGTCCTATAGGCAAACAATGAAGTTGAACTGCAGTTATGCCACGTATATGTAAACTATATAGAAAGGAGGACCCATAAATCTAAGTGTCAGAAATGGATTAGAAGTGTTTAATTTATTTTAAAATATATGTTTAAGTTCTTGTTTGTAGTGTACATTTAGAATACAGCATCTTGCACAACTCTAGCTATGAGAAAAGAACATTACAAAGGATTTATAACACTCTCCCCGTAATTATCTTACATATTAATATTAATATTATACAAGATCTAAGGATAATTATAAATTGCAGAATAAAATAAACACCAACAGTCACAAGTGCTCACCTATCTTTCACCTGAGGTCAAAACCCAAGTATGTTTTATACCACAACCCAATTTAGTGTATTTATAGGTTAGGGTGTAATGCTTAAGGTTACATTTATACTTACAGTATATATTTTTTTGTAGTGCATACACATTTTCAACCTTGCCAGAAGAGGCAATTTAAATTCTAGGCTTTGCGGCTGTTGCATGATTGAAGAGATTCCAGACACAAGCACATGTATGCAGTTTATAGCACTTTCCCTAAATAATTAGCTGTATTTTTTCACGCTTAAATATAGCTTTTGAATAATTAAATGGATATTTGCAGCATTCTGCATCTCACACCTGCCTCCATTGTCAAACCACCTTATACTTCCTCCTGGCTTGTTAATATACCTGGGTACAGGGTCACAGCTTTAGAAATCTACATTTTCCGTTCCCTCCCCTCCCTACGTACATTGTTTCTTCAATTACACTGTCTGTTGTATATATCAACAGGAAGCATTCCAAACAATTAAGCTGTTTTAATAAGGAAGCTGATAGCTGAACTAAAGGCCCCAGGAATTCATTGTATGTTCATGAATTGAGGCAGAGAAATCTGCCCCTTGTAATGAAACATACAGGCATTTTTGAATTGACATGTTTATAGGTAAACGATATACAGATTCAAGTTAGTGCTGCATGTGTCACTTTTCTAAACTCTGCAAAGAGACAGAATGGCTTTTGCACTATCTGTGCTACTCTTGCAGTGCTGAGTTGAGCATGACCCAACAGTACAAATTCCATTGACCTAAAAGTGAGGCTACTAACTGAGCAATCTACTTCCTGGAGTGGGCCGGGTCAAAGATTGATGTAATGTCTGGGGATTTGTACAAAAAGGCAGGGACTTTAAAAGTATACATTTTATATGTTTTATTGATTTTTTTTTGCATATATTTGTAATTAATTATCATGCATTAAAATGGGGTTCTCTTTCATCCTAGATCACCCCTGTATGATGATTTGTCTTTTAATTTGATTTTTAAAAACCCAATCTAATATGACCAAAACTGCCCAATTACGGTCAAGATTATGCAGTATCCCTACATATGTTGGTTATATCGCAGTTCTTGCGTAAACAATTTACAGCATCAACACTTAAAAAAATAAGCACAGAAACTGCAGAGTTATTTCAAAATAAACAATCTTATTTAACGGAGTAATGTTAGATTTATTCCAACCCTGTTTTGTTTTTTTGTATAATACAACATAGAGGCAGTAATCATTCATGAAAATCAGCCCAGCTTTGTAACAACCATTGCAATGTCAACTCATATTCTTATAGAACAAAATTCAAGCAGCACGACAGTCACTGAATCATATAAATTTTCAGAAATAATTTGAAAGATTCACCAACAATATTTTTTTCTGAAATCTAGGTTGGACTGCACATGGTGACATTTGCTTTTTATGACATCTTCTAATGCTGGAAGACATTTCAGTATCTACTGAATTCAGTACAGTGTCTTCAAGAGCCATGCATATTCAGCAAACATATGCCTGAATTTATAACTTACCTACACAGCTTGACAGTCTGTCATTGGAATATCTACAGTTAAAAGACTGTATCATGCCCTTCGAAAAGGGAGAAGCATTTGTAGAAGATTATACATTTTATCTTTTTTTTTTGTGTGGAAAAATAAAATGGCCCTGCATTGATATTGAATGTATTTCAATAATGTTCAAAACAAGTGGGTAACACACTGCAGGACAATATCATTTATTGGCAAGCCTTGAGTCCAGACACATATGGTGACTCTTGAGGTCTACAAATACACTCTTGTTGCGGAGGCATAAATGAATCCATAAAATCTGGAGCAGGTAATCCTGAGAGGATCATCAGGGACTTATTCCACAGAGTAAAGGTCGGACATACAGGAAGGATAAAAGAAATCTCAAATGTATGCAGATGTTGAGAATTAGCAGGATCATAGAAAGAAAGGGTATTATTGTCATAGTCAAGGAGAACACCCAAGCGCTTCAACTGTGGATGGACGTCCAGAAGGATCTCTTTGTTATTATGTCTAACGAGGAAGTTGTTGTTGCAACGAGAGAAGACCCATGATGAAATATTCTTTCCAATCCATTCATTCCTGGGTGCAGATTTATAAGCAATTCCTATTGCATACCTAGAGTAAAAAATAAATAAAAAATAGTGAAATAATGATACCTTAAAGAGGCTTTTCCACTATTTACAAAATCTTAAATTGTTAATCACATTTTTAATTTGCAAAGTTATTCCACTATACCAGTGGTTCATAGTGAACCTACAAAAATCTTTTGCACCATACCACAAACCTTTTAATAACACTACTCTAACCTGGAAAAATACAGTTTTAACTACCTGAGTACAATGGATGCTGCTTTGTTCTCAGCTCTTAATACAGAAGTAAAGCACCCATGCGTTTTGCGTAGGTTTTGGAGCAAAATGCATTGTTGTATTACAGCTTCATGCTAAACATATTTGTATATGTTTTTTGGGACACATACACTGATTTCTACCGATACAGAGAGTAGTACTTAATAGCAGAAAGGTTTTTTTGTGTTTAATTTTTTTTTTGTTTTTTTATAAAATTATTTCTAATGAAGTTTTACAGAAAAAAAAAATGTAAAAAGTAAATTAGGGCAAAAGTGTGATATACAAAGATTATTAGCAGCACACTTTTAACCAGCAAAGTCTGACTCTAAAAATAAAAACAAAAACCATATCCTTAGATGCCACATTGAGCGCAAATCTAAAGGCCAGCACAATAAAACAGTTTTCCTCCTATGTGAAGCCAGATTAGACACAATACTGAATGAAGCAACAAAAATAGATGACCGTGAAAGAATGAGAGGTCTCCAACATGCGACAGTCCTGTATCAATGCTCGCGAACAATTGAGTCTGAAATGGGCGATGGCTGGAGGGAATAACATTGCAGTCTCACGAGTGCTGCTTGTGACGAATTGCACTTCATCACTGGGTTTTGGAGAGGTCCTTCCCTCAGCTATACGCTCCTGGAGGAGAAGTCCTTCCCACATGGTCCTGGGTCCAGAGTGGGAAGGAGACGGCGAGACCCCAACCAAGCTACGGCGGTTCGTGGAGTCTGCAGTAGCTAAGGTGTCTGGTGTGGTGCTGATGGTCCTTGTTAAGCGCTAGGAGCATCAATTGGCAGATGGTCCATCACACTGCTCTTTCCGAATTCTGTGAACAGTGGGGAGCCGCGGCCATTTTAGAACCCCAGTTTTGTTCTCGGAACACAAAGTGGGAAATGCTGTACTAAAGTAATCATTTAGATACTACTGTCAGGATTGTATCCTGACAACTATGTTTTATCTTTATTTATTTCTGTTCATTTAAAAGAAGTTCCAGCTCTCCACCACTAGTGGCCTCCCTAGCCACCTCAGTCCTCACCTGCCTAGGATTAATTACAGATCCTACAAAAGGCCACACCGAAGAATACCTTCACATTGAAGTTGGTGATTTACCTGAAACACTTCCTATCCTGGATCCTGTGAACCTGCTTCACCCTTATGTATACTTCAAACCAGCCTGCCTGTGTAACCAGACACAAAGATAAAGCAGGGAAAAAAAGGCAAGATATAAGGGAAAGGAGGAGTAGGCTGTTTTTTTCTGTTAGTAATCTTTTTTGCATCATCTCCTCATGCTCCCTTAAAGCTCTAGATAAAAAGATTGGATTACAAGCTCAGACTTTGAGTATAAGCTCTTGGTATGCCCTGCTGTGGGCTCTTAATTCTTTAAGTTTTTATACTATTCTTTCAGTACCCTGAATACGTAAGAATCTGAGGAGATAAGAATCATATAGTTTTTGAGAGTTGAATGAGTTGTAAATAAACTAATGTATATTGAAAATACTTAACACTAAAATATGGGGTCCAGAAAAAAGGAAGATGACTTTCTAAATCGGAGAAGAAAGGCCAGAAACCTGAGAAACGCCTCTCTGCTTTCTTTGTACCTCAGGAAGGCCAAGAGATTTTGGAACATTCTATCTTAGACCCCACTCAAGTTGGGGAAAACTCCTCACCCTTAATGCCTAAAGAAAAATAAATAGTAACATCTTCTTTCCTAAAGGCATGTATGGAAGATCTTTCTACTGATATTAAATCTGATCTATTGGAAAAATTCCTAGATGTTAAGATGGACTTATCCTCTTTGGCGGGGAGATTACAGAGAATAGAGGATAGACAGGAAAATGTTGACCAACAGCTACAAGACTTGAAAGATTAAGTTGACAGAAAAATACAACATAATGGAAGACAAACTACGTGATTTCGAAGATAGATCTAGACGCTTAAATTTAAGATTTAGAAATATACCAGAGGACATTGCAGATGAAAAGCTCCTGGATTATTTAAAGGAGTTCTTTGACTGTTTGGGATTATCCTCTGAACAATATGATAATAATTTGTCTCGGTTTCACTGCCTCTTTCAAAAGAAACAGGATCAAAAATTCCAGAGAGATGTCATTGTAGCTTTTGTCTCATTGGACTTTAAACGTAAGGTGTCCCAGAAGGCAAGAAACAGACATTAAGCAAGAAAAATTCAAGGCAATAAAAGTATTAACGGATGTCTCATTTCTTAGAAGACAACGAAGAAATCTATTTTCGCCAGTGTTTCCTTCCTTAAAGAAATATAATATTAAATTTAAATGGAACCAACAATTAGCTC